TCTCTCTCTCTCTCTCTCTCTCTCTCTCTCTCTCTCTCTCTCTCTCTGTGTGTGTGTGTGTGTGTGTGTGTGTGCACTCACACTGTGACTGCATACAATGGAACATGCCCTGTCTCAGGCTTCCTGTTGTTGTGAAGAGACCCCATGACCATGACAACACTTAGAAAGGAAAACGTTGAATTGGGACCAGCTTACAGTTTCAGAAGTTTAGCTCATTCTCATCGTGGTGAGAAGCATGGAGGCAGACATGGTGCTGGAAGAGGAACCGAGAGGTCTACATCTTGATCAAAGGCAGCAGAAGGGGGCCGTGCGCCACACTGGGCATAGCTTGGGCATTTGAGCATTCCTAATCAAAAACTACCACATGTCCCAAATAGGATAATAGCCAGAGAATATTTTTTAGGGTCTTTTGCCCAGATTAACCTAAACTTCCTATGTAAGCACTAATGGCTTTGAGCTTCTGAGCCTCTGGCCTCAGTTCTGGGATTACATGCATTCACCAAAAAATGCTTGGTTTCTATGCGGTGCTGTAGATTGAACCTGGAATCATGCACTTGCTAAGCAAGCACTCTGTCAACCGAGCTGCATCCCCAGCACAGGAGCAGGAAAACTTGAGTTTTAGTTTCATGGTTCAGTCAAGAGATTTCCTGTTGTGTAGGAGACCATTAGGATCAAGTTCTGGGGTGGGGTTGTGGGGAGTAGACTCCAGAGGGCCGGAGAGGTGACTTTACCGTTACAAGCACTTGCTGCTTTTGTGTTGGACCAGGGTTTGATTCCCAGCATCCACATGTCAAGTCACAATTGCCCACATGCTGTGGGACAATGATCTTGTAACTTGTAAAGATTTGTTACTTGTATTTTAATAAAATGCTGATTGGCAAGTAGTCGGGCAGGAAGTAGAAGCGGGGTCGATGAGAACAGGAGAATTCTGGGATCTAATGACTTCTGACCTCTTAGGGCTCTTGCACACACGGTGCACATACATGCTCTCACACATACACATGTATATAGTTTCCTCATTGTTGTAAGCCACACTTTTGGGGTGACTTCTGCCGTCCAGCTACGGCGGAGTCGTACATTCCAGGGTAAGAGGCGTGTGGATTAGAAACATTAGGTAGGAGGAATAGAGATGTGAAAGAAAGGCAGACACACAGGATAGTACCAGCAGGGCAACTCAGTGAACGCTGAGTACTGAATTCACCTGCATTTATTTTTTACATGCTTTTATACCCCGTACAAAAGTTGGGGGAGAAGGCAAAAGACTGCTTTGGACGACACAAGGACAAGCAGAACAGTTACTTGCTTCAGTACTTGAGATATCAAGCCGTGATTTCCTGAGTAAAGCATTTGATGTTAGGAATGTCCATCGAACCCACCCTAAACCAAGTCTGTAGGCAGCCACTCCCTAGGTCAAACCTCCTGTTTTAAATGAAGGAGCAGGGGTATGTTTGAGTTTTCTGACCTTTGGTCAGGGTGGAAGGGATCCACCATTATAGGCCATCCTAATGTCCAAAGCCCTAAGTAGCCACACCCTAGGTCAAGACGGGTAGCCACCCCTGTTGTCAACAAGGTGGAAAGAACCAAACTAAGCTCAAACTCCCTGACCTCCAGTCAAGGTAGAACAGGCTCACATATGTAGTCCCCACACCTCATAACTCTGTGGTCTATTCATGTGTTCTGGTTCCTTTAAGAACCAGTTTTAGTTGTGTGTGTGTTCCAAGGACTACAGCAAAGACTCTCAGGCCATGGCTGTTACTCAAGAATACTTCAAGGACAAGAAGTAAACCTGTGGTTTAGCTGGCACCCGATCTGCACTGTAGTCCCAGCTGCTCAAGAAACTGAGGCTGGAGAATCAGTTAGACTTGGGAGTTCCATACTAGCTTTGACCACAGCAAGACCTTACTTCAAAACAAGTTCTAACTCTCTGGAGGATGGAGGTTAGGGCACGCAAAAGTGGGTTTCCTGCACCAAACGTGAAAACAAGTTCCTGGTGTCTGATAGTTCTCTCAAATACCTCTGAGAAACTCAATCATTTGAGATGTGTGCCCTTTCAAAACTAAAAGATAACAAGATCCGCCCATTTAAATTAAGTCAAGCAAGAAAGAACACTTTTGGTAGTTATACAAAATTGATCCCTTAAATTTATTCACTTTGAAAAACTGTTTAAAAAAAAAAAAAAAAACAGGTGTTGTGAGGCTGGAGAGATGGCTCAGTGGTTAAGAGCCTGGGTTCAATTCCCAGCTACCACATGGTGGCTCACAAACACTTGTCATGAGCTCTGCTGCCCTCTTCTGGCCTGCAGACATAATGCAGACAGAATACTGTATACAAAACCAATTAAATCTCTTTTAGAAAAAAGAAAAAACATGTGTTGTGGTAACAGAGAGATTAAAAGAGGCAGAGACAGCAGATCTCTCAGGCCATCCTGGGCTACAGTGAGGTCCAGGACAGCTGGGGCTACAGAGTTGAAGGAGGAGGAGAAAGAAGGAGAAAAGAAGAAAAGGAAAAACCACGTCATTGGTACAGTTGTTTTGCCCGGTGGTAAAGCTCTTATGACCGAGACTGTGGGTTAGTGTCCAGCACTAAAGGATGCAGAGGGAAAAGGGAGGAAGAGGGAGAGAGATGGTGGAAATTAATATCTTCACTGTCAGGAGAAGTAAGAAGGATCAAATGTTGCTCTTTCTCAGAATTCAGAATATTGGATTCTCCACAAAGGAAATAATTACGGTTTTGACCAACTCACACGGCAGTATCAAATGCTGTATGTGGAGAGAGTGAAAAAATAGGTAAGACTTTTTCATTGTGGCAGGGAGGGGCATGCTTTTTGAGACAGGGTTTCACGCTGTAGCCCCAGTTGGTACAGGGAGGCCTGGAACTCATGGTGGCCTCCTGCTCAGGTTGCCTGTTAAGTGCTGAGGTTAGAAATTGAGCCACCCCTTCCTGCTGGATATAAGATATTCAATCAACAATTATAAATACGTTGGGAGCAATAGCAGCAAAACGTATTAGAAAAGGCAAGCTCTGGTTCATGAGCAGCTTCTCTTTGCAGCAGACAGAGATCATTATAAAAATCACAGCTGACCAAAGTGCAGAGAACTGACCTTGGGGTTCCCGGCCCCAAAGGACACATCCATAACAGGCTCCTGCACTTAAGGCTCAGGGAACACTGGGGAAGTCGAGGAAGGAAGATCTCAACTCCAGAGGACCAGGAAATCTGTGAAATGTGTCTCTTAGAAATGACGCAGAGGATAGAAAAAAGAAAAGAAAAGAAATGACAGAGAACCTACACCATGATACATAAACAATGTGACAGCCTAAAAAAGACCCGAGAGACAATAAAGCCAACAGACATACTAATGTGGAAGGGGGGAAACTTGAGAGTTCCTTGCCTAGAAAAGGGACGATAAGCAAATAAAAACTGTTGAGCGGGGAGAATTAGTCTTTCCCAGGGATGAACTGTCTAATGGTTATTCAACACAAAGTGGTGAGTCCCGGGTTCCACTGCAGAGGTTGGATTTATATATTTATGTGTTTAAATGTGCGTGTAACAACAATAATCATCATAAATATGTTTATAATAAAAATCATAATAATGAGAAAAAGAGACCATCTATTTGGGAGGGATCAAGGGGCATAGGAGGAGTTGGAGGAAGTGTTGGACTAGAAGTCCAAACATAGGAAGGAGTTGCTCCAGACACCACTCCCATAACCATAATTGATGCAAAAGCAAGAGGATTTTTATTCTGTCCTGGCAGGACCCTTCAGGTTCGGGATATGAAGGACCTCCGATAGCTGTTACAGCCCATCTTTTAAAGCAAAAAGCCACAGACACAAGGGGGGAACCTGTAGGTTGTTTTCCAACTTATTGGATTGGCCTGTTTAAAAGGTCACTAGCAGTGATTGGTCCATTCCAGGGCAGGAGAATAGCTGTGTGGTCAGGTGAGATAAGGGGAGCATCTGTGGCCTTCCTGACCTTGTTCTAGTGACTAAATCAAACATCAGGAACTGAGTCAACATCTGGGGGTTGTCTTTGCCTTAATTCCCAGAATGGAGCTATGTTTGAAGATTATTCACAAGGACACATGTTGTGGGAGTAACTTCCGCTGCCTCAACCAATAATCACTGAAGCAGGAGCCCACAGTGCAGCGGGGAGCGACTTCCGCTCCGTCAGCCAATAGCTGCTGAAATACCAGCCCACTGGGGCGTGGTATATTTCTCTTTTAAAAAGAGAAGCAGTTCCGGATAAGGTCTCTCTTGGTTCCGGCTCTTGGTTCCGGTGCTCGGTCTCGGCTGCTGCTCCCGGCTCCTGCTCCAGCGACTAGGCTCCCTTCCTGACGGTTTATGGTGTATGTAAGTTTTACCCCCTGCCAAATAAATAACCCCTTAAAACATAACTGGTGTGGGATTGATTCGTTAATAGACACAGGAGAATGAGCATTCAGCATGTGTGTGGGGTGGGGGTGATTGTCCCCTTTCCAAGAGAGAGTGAGTATAAGGTTTTAGAAAAATGTCTTAGGGTTGAGGGGGCTTACAAATGCATTTAGAGTCTTTCAGAAGAAAGGATTTGGGGGAGGAAAGGGAAGAGAAGAAATTATGTGACTACATTTTAACTAAATTTTTAAAAAAATTAAAAGGAGGCATATAAAGAGAAAAAGACAAGTCTTGTGTATTGGGAAATCTGAATTAAGGTTCCCACAATCCATCAGTGCCTCCGCACATCTGTGTCCACATGTCTACAATTAATAAAGTAGTATTCTTATGTGTTTGCATTTGCTAGGTCGCTCACCCTTAAGATAATTTTTTGACTCTTTACTGAAAATCACAATGCAAAGAACAAACATTCAAAACAGTGGTTGGGGAGACATCTCAGTCAGTAAAGCACTTGGCTTGGAATCACAAGGAGCTGGTTCCCAGGATTCATGTAAACAAATAAAAACAAACAAATAATAAATAAATAAAAACCCAGGTGTGGTAGTACATTTGTACTCCTAGCCCTGGGGAGGCAGAACGGGTAGATCTATGGCAGGTGGACCCCTGGATCTCACTGGACAGTCAGCACGTTACCTACTCAACAAGTCTGGGGCCAGAAAGAGAACCTGTTTAAAACAAACAAACAAACAAACAAACAACAACAACAAAACCCACGAAGGTGGACAGCAGCACCTGAGGAGAGACAGTGAGGGCCACCGTCCAGTCTCCACATGCATAGCACACATGGGCATGTGCATCCACACGACATACATGAACACACATGTACACCAAATATGCAAACAAAAGGATGGCATAATGGATTCTTACAAAACACCCTTAAAACATAGCCAGCCTTAGAAATACCGAATTTCTTACTTCTTCTGGTCACTGTGACAAAATTCCTGAGGTTGTAAGGGTTTAATTTGGCTCAAGGTTTGAAAGATTTTAATTTTTCACGGCAGAGAAAAGTGGCATCACGGTGGCCAGAAAGGAACAGGAAGAGACCAGAGCAAACTGTGTCCTCCGGTGACTTCCACTTCCTACCATCCCCTAACTCTCCATAATGCCATCTTATTATGAGTCCATCAGGGATTAATATTCGCTAGGTCAGAGCCTTGGTGATCTAACGCTCACTGGAAATGCCATCACACTGAAGACAAGGTTATACTGCTTTTTAAAAAGATTTATTTCTTATATTTATGTGTATATGTGTGTGCCTGTTTGAGTGATGTGTACCATGTGAGCTCATGTGCCCAAGCAGGCCAGAAGAGGGTACCAGACACCCTAAAACTAGAGTTATAGTTAATCTGAGCCATTTGATGTGGGTGTTGACACCGGAACCTTGATCAGCAAGTGTCCTTAACTCCTGAATCATCTGTCTAGCCTCAGGTTCAATTGGGTTTTTTGTTTGTTTGTTTATTTTGTTTTTAATTGTCAGCACTATATTTTAAGATTTGCAATGTTATATACTTCATCTTCACGTCATTTTCAATACTAGAAGCATAAATTATATAAAGTCATTAAAATAATTCTAATTATTGTATACATTTTTTGCAAATTGGCGTCCAGGTGAGTGCATTAACACACTGTTCATGCTGTAAGTATGTCTGTGTTAAAAACATTGAAGCTTCCTCGCTAGCTAAAGACATGCTCTTTTTTGTAGTTCTGTACTTATTTTAGATTTCATTTTATACTTTTATTGGCATGCACCTGTGTGCTGCCACATGTGTGTTGGTACCCCAAGGTAGTCAGAAAAGGATGGAGCTGGAGTTACAGGCAGGTGGTTGTAATCCACCCAAGGTGGGTGCTGGGAGTCAAACTCAGGTTCTCTGAAGAGCAGCAAATGCTCTTAACCAGTGAGCCATCTCTTCAGCCCTACATCTATATTTTTGAAGGACATATTTTTTTTATTTCTTTGGGTGACTGAAAATATATATAACATATAAATATAATATATAAAGTATTACATAATAATAAATGATAAAATGAAAAAATAACAAGTCCTACCACTATTTGATCAATCTCATCAAAAGACTTAGGTCGTCAAGATGGGTATGGTGGTCACATCTATAACCCAAGCACTCTGGAGACTGTGAGAGTTAGGATCGCCAATTTGCGGCCACCCTGAACTGTACAGCAAAACACTGTCTCAAACAAACAAGAAGAGGTATTGGGGCAAGGGCAGGGGAGAGAAACCAAAGCTAAATGTGTAGAAACCTACTACAAAAGAAGATAATTTTTTTAGAGTCTGGAGAGATGGCTCAGATGTGAAGAACACTGGCTACTCTTCCAGAGATCCTGGGTTCAATTCCTAGCACTAGGTTTTTGGTGCCCCCTTGTGGCCTGCAGGCAAACATCATACAGACAGAACACTGCATACATACATACATATAATATATATACATATATACATATATATACATACATACACACACACACACACACACACACACACACACATATATATATATATTTGGTCGAGACAGGGTTTCTCTGTAGTTTTGATGCCTGTCCTGGAACTAGCTCTTGTAGACCAGGCTGGGCTCGAACTCACAGAGATCCGCCTGCCTCTGCCTCCCGAGTGCTGGGTTTAAAGGCATGCGCCACCACTGCCCAGCAAATAAATAAATCTCTTTTTTTAAGAGCACTTGTTTTGTTTTGTTTTTAAAATATATATATATACTTTTAAAAAGAGTTTAGATTTGGAGAGATGGACCGTGATCAACAACACTTTATTGCTCTTGTAGATGACCCAGGTTCAATTCCCCCATACCCACACGGTGACTCACAACCATCTATATCTCCAGTTCTGAGGCTCTGACGCCCTCTTCTGAGCTCTTTAGCACCAGGCACACTCATAGCACACGTATTTACATGCAAGTAAGACACTCATGCACACCTGTGACGTCATTAGCCCCTTGATGGAGTCTTAATATGATAGCATTATTGAAGGTTGGGGAATGATAGGAAGTGGTGTCTGGTTGGAGAAAGTCATGCGTCATTCACGGTCTTTCCCTGCTGTAGACCCTGCGTGCCGCAATACTGACCTACCTGCCAGGCAAGATACGCCCACAATAGTGGCCAAATGGTTTAGGGATTGTGACGATTTGACCGAGAGACACCTCCCATAGATTCCCGCATTTGATCCTGAAACTTTTAGATTGCATCCTTCCCAGAGGAAGTAGTCACTGTGCACTGTGAGCAAGCTTTGAGAGTTGATAGCCTCGACCCACTTCCGGTTTGTTCTCTCCTTAGGGTTTGTGGCTGAAGATGTACGCGCTCAGATGCACACTCTGGCTGCCCGCTGTCATGCCTCCCTCTGGAACCAGAAGCCAAAATAAAGTCTTTCTTCCACGAGTCATCCTGGGTCCTGATGTTTTCATCACAGCAACAGAAATTGATTAATGCAGAGTTGCTGTCAGCTTCCTCAGATCTCCTTTGCTTCCTCCTACCGTGTTTCTTGTATTTCAGAGATCTTGGGATCCTTCGTAAGATTTATTCTTAAATATTCATTTTTGAGGGGCTGGAGAGATGTCTGAGCAGCTATAACCTACCGACTACTTACTGTTTTCTTTTTTAATTTGGCTTTTTGAGACAGGGTTTCTCTGTAGCTTTGGATCCTTTGGATCCTGTCCTGGAACTAGCTCTTGTAGACCAGGCTGGCCTCAAACTCACAGAGATCCGCCTGCCTCTGCCTCCTGAGTGCTGGGATTAAAGGTGTGCACCACCATCACCCAGCTATTCTTACTGTTCTTGCAAAGGACCTGGTTTGGTTCCCAGAACTGAAATAGTGACTCACAACTGTCTATAACTTCAATTTCAGTTCAAACATCACCGACTGAGCTCCACTGGCTCCAAGAATGTACACACTATACATACATAGACACAAACAAAACACTTATCAATACAAAATATCAAATAAAATAAATCTTAAAAATATATATTTTTGGAAAGATGTAAAAATGTATTTGCTACTTACACACACTTCATTTTAGGTGTGTTGGGTGAGTTGTTTTATCATTCTTTTGTTTGTCTGGGTTTTATATTGACTGCAGAAACTAAATTTATTAAGGGCTTTACCCTACAAGCTCAGAATCCACGGGAGGGTGATGGGATAGCTGGTTCCACGAGGTTGTTCTCAGTCCTCCACATGTGTGCCATAGCATGCACATACACAACTGTTTTTAAAAATTTTTAATTAAGAAAGTTTTTTGTGGATGCAAGATCTGACTGAGACATGCCATCCCACTGATCACCAGGGTTGGTTGATTCGGCTGATCTAGAAGGCTAAGCGGGTCCTCTTCCTTCTTCCTAGCTCCACATCCCTCCAGAAGCTGCATTCTCAGTCGACCTTCCCCAAATAGAGGACTGAGCTACGCTCTTCAGCTAGAACCTCCAAATACACTCTCAAAAGAGATTTTTGTGTCTGCAATCTGGGGAGATGCCCATCTGTAACATTCTTTTCTTTTTAAATTATTTGTGTTATTTTTAATTGTGTGCATACATGTGAGCCGCCAGCTGAAGTCGCCAGAAGTGTTCGTTCTTAACTGCTGAGCCATCACTCCGGTTCTTCTGTAATTTTCTTTCTCTCTTTCCCACCCTCCTTCAGTCTCGTTATTTCATCTTCAATATTTCCACTTTTCTGAAATTTGCAAAAATAAGAATCTTGACTTTTTCTAGACGGATCGAGACTTTTGTGCCCCCCCCCCCCCCATAGGATACTGAGGTGGAATTGAGTTGTTCGTCTGCCTCGTGCTCTGGTTTGTTCTGCAATTAGCTGAATGTAGGATGTGCTGGGGACGCTTGGGTCTTCGTTCGCTGATATTTTGTGCACCCATTCTATCAGCACGGAGGTGAGGAGTTTCTAATCTGCCCAGTGCCTGCTGCTGTACCTGAGGGGACCCACGAGTGGCTGCTTCTGCAAACGATTTTCACATACAAACCTGCATTTGGCTGTTTTGCAGTCTCTGAAACCCCAAGAGCAGAGAGAATAAAAATCTGAAGCGCTTGTCCCGAGAAATGTACTTGATCCCTAGTGGGCTCCTCCCTCCTGGGTGACTATGCACATCAGCCTCCGGACTCTTAAATCGAGCTTTTCTCCAGACCTGAATCCTAGCGGGTGGGGCGGGGAAGACTCTGGCTTGCGGGAGTGCCAGCCCTGAGGACCTCAACAAAACCCTACACCCTTGTCCTGTGGCAGAAGAGACAGTTTGGGAAATCAGCCGAGCCCCGCTGAGAGGTGCTGGGAGTTCTTTGAGTCTGAGAGGCTGGGGTGCTGCTGCTACCGACCCAGAAAAGTGGAGGACAAGAGAAAGCTAGAGGCTGAATGAGAAGTGACAGCCCTATGAAAAGGAGACGCGTGCCTTCCTAAACTGTCGGTTTAAGCTTCCGGAACAACTTGAGTGAAAAAGGAGGCGTGGGCAGGGGAATAAGGCTTAAGAAGAACCCAGGAAGTAATTTGGCATCATACACACACATACACACACACACACACACACACACACACACACACACACACACACACACACCAACAGCAACACCACTCCACCATCTCTGGCACTATGAGAGATAGCACAGGGTGGCGAGGTTGGTCTGTGCAGACGCCATGGGCCAAAAATCTCTACTTTCCCAGGACCAGAGGAGGCTGGTGTTGGCATCCTAGTCTTTCACCTAATATGGAGTCTGCTCCACGGAGGAGACAGACCCCTTCCAGGAAACTGTGGTCTACAGAGGCCCCCTTTCCCACGGGCTGCATTCCACACTCACCAAACCCGGGAGCTATGAGGTGAGATTGAGACATCCTGGGCCTAATGCAGGCAGAGCATTAGTCACTACCGGACGTGAGCGTCGGCCGAAATCTGCCTCCGAAAAGGGGAAATAAGACTCTCCAGCTTGTTGCTGAAACACAATAAATAGGCTAGTATTCGCAGCGTATTGAAAAAAAACTCAAAAACTATCCAATTTGAATTTTAAAAATGAATCAGAAAAGTACTAAGCAGTCAGCAGCTTAAAAACAATATAGCATGCCAGACAGACGGCTCGGTGGGCGTAGGAGCTGGCCTCCAAACCTGAGACCAGGATTCCGGTCCAGGCATCCAGGCAATGGAGGGAGGGAACTGACTTCAACTGATCCTGGGACCTTCACAGGCATGTATTGGCATACCTGCACTCACCCTGATTCCACTAAGCCACTAAGCACTAAACCATAATGTAAATTCAAAAAGCTGCCCTGCCAGCTCCTGGCCATTTTCTGAGCAGAATGCCTGCGAGGCTAGTGTCCCTGAACCAGAGGTGACCCTCGGCTGATGTGGCACACAGTAGGTAGAGTGTAGTGTGGGTCACAAAGGAGCTCACTGAAACCTGGAGTGTGAGAAAGTGATTTCACCCTGGGATTTTGCCCAAGATTTGGGGTGTGATGGGTACAGTCTGGTGACTTCTGCACATCTAGCAGGTCTCCGGAGCTGAAGCCCCTGGTCTTCTGGGGCCATGTATCACACACCCAGTGCAGATGAGGTCAACCAATCCTGGGGAGGAGTAGGGGTGGAGTAGGGGGGAGCGACCCCCAGGGCTACAGGATTCAGTGCATCTGATAGCACAGGGTGAGTGGTGGCCCAATGTTAGATCACCCTGGTGGGTATAGAGGTAAGGAGACCCCGAGATTAAAAAAGGGTGGGGAGAGGTAAGAGGAGCGGTTTTGGAAGAGAAAGGCAGGAAAGGAAGGAAGGAGTTGACCTCGACAGTCAGCCACACTTTATCTTAGCTTCCTGTCTTGGGGATTCCTAAACCAGGGTGGCACTTGGGACCAAATTCTGCATTTTGTTTTTCAACTAAATGTCCTTTTGAGCATTAAATATTCAGAAAACCGTACACACACACACACACACACAGAGAGAGAGACAGACAGACAGACAGACAGAAACAGAGACAGAGACAGAGAGAGACAGAGAGACAGAGAAGAAAACCATAGAGATATGAAAAAACACACAACATCCTTGGTAGTCAGGGAAATTAAAAAACACCTCACTGAGTTGATGTAACTGAAAAGTTTCTGCACCAGGATAAGCCTCTCTGCTGATGCAACAATCCAAATCAGAGAAAATTAAACTGAAATAGAAAAAAAAGAAGGTTTAAGAGATACAAATGCTCCCAAATGGCTTTCTAGCCACCCCCCTCCTCCCCCAGAGGGTACCGGAAAAGAAGACCGGGAAACCAAGTGTTTGTTTTCTGAGAACATTTTAAATGCCCTGTGGGAGTGATCTTGAGCATCTCTGGGAAGGGGTCATCATTTGGGGGGCTTTCTCATGGGTGGAGTCTGGACTGAGGAAACTCCCAGGGGAGGGAGCTTGGGGTGGAACTTCCACCTGAACATTCCAGACTCTTTGGATATATGGATGCCAGGGGCTGGGGTGAGGCTTCCATCCAAACAGTAGCTCCACCTCTTCTAGAATCAACACAATAGGAAACAGTGGTCTGTGTCTGGGCACAGTGATTCCAGGTTCGTAGTATCTTACTTAAAAATGAAACTGGACTTGGTGGCACATTCCTTTAATCTCAGCACTTCAGAGGCAGAGACAGGTTGATCTCTGAGTATGAGACCAGCCAGGTGTACAGAATGTGTACCAGGATAATCAGAGCTACACAGAGAATTTATCTCAAAACACAAAACAAAGTAAATTCAGAGATATATATGCTGTCAGGCATTACAATAAACCAGAGGTGTGTGGATCTTAAAAATTTCAGGTTGGACATGATAGATGGGCAGTGTGATGATTTGAATGAGAATGGACCCACCCCTAACCTCCCACCCCACCCCACCCTTGCCCCAGTAGGTGGAACTGATAGGAAAGGGTTAGGGGGAAGTGGTGTTCTTAGAGATATGAAAAGTAAATAAACACTCATCAGAAATTTCATTCCAAACAATACAGAGGGACTGGAGAGGGGCTTGGAGGTTAGAAGCACTTGTTTCTCATGAAGAAGATCCAGCTTTGAGTCCCAACACCTACAGAGAGACTCACACCTGTTTGTAACTCCAATTCCACAGTATCTGATACCGTTATCTGGCCTCTCTGGTCATCCCACATGGTCATATTACACACACACACACACACACACACACACATACATATACACACACACAGACACACACACACATACATACACACACACACACACATATGTTGAGAGTATCCTGCTAAAAAAGACTACATGTTCCAGCTTCCCTTGCATGCCCAACGATAAGAAGAGGCTTTAAGCAACCAGGACCATATGTCAGGACTATTTCTGATCCTCACCCCATCCCTATAAAGGGTTGTAGTCATCTTTTTTCTCCAGCAGATAGTTCAGCTTCAAGAGGAGTCTCCC